ACTTATTTAATCAATTTCTCAACATTTACATTGGAGGTGTTTCCAAGTTCTTTGTTAATATAGATAACGTTGGATGGGGAATCTTTGTGTTGTGTACTCTGATATCATTTCTAATATTGATGAAAACTAATACAAGTATTTCTGGAGTTACTATGTACAAGTTTCTGAGCTCTTTTTAAAAGATTTGTTTATTTATTTGAAAGGCAGAATTACAGGGTCGGGGGGAGGATCTTCCATCCACTGATTCACTCCCCAAATGACTGCAGTGGCCAGGGCTGGTCCAGGCAGAAGCCAGGAGCCCAGAGCTCCAGTCTGATCTCCAAGCATTTGGGTCGTCCTCTGCTGCTTTCCCAGGAGCATCAGCAGGGAGCTGAACTGGAAGCATAGTAGCCAAGACTCAAACTGGCCCTCCAACATGGGATGCAAGCATTGCTGCCATATCCTAAGCCACTGCACCACAGTGCCAGCCCTTATGAGCTCTTAACTTGCATTAAATCATTTCATCCTTACAAGACTATCAAGAATGTTTTCCACCTATTTTATGGATTAGAAAATGCACCAAGTAATATATTCACAAATGTGTGCTTTGGGGTCGCCTCGTGACACAGTGGCTGCAAGCCAAAGCTGAGGCATTCACCTGCCTCAGTATTAGTGGTCATGAACTGTGTAACCTCTCTCCGCTTCCACTTGCTAATCTATAAAAGGGGGAGATCACAGTGCCTGTTGCAGGAGTTTGTGAGGAATTCAGGAGGTAATCACTGTTGAGTGCTTAGGAAAGAGCTTGGTGCATAGCGATGGCAGTTAAGCTGTTGCTGCTGTAGTACCTGCTGTTTACATTTCCAGGGGCCAGTTAGCAGGTCAAAAGCCAAGGATGTGTAGGTGTATGTGTGTTTTTGTCTCAATGACCTTATCTATGACAGTAAATACATCTTTTGCTCTGGGTTTGAAAAATAGATGAAGATAAGTTAATTATTAATGAATTATTAACTAGAGAAGTTATGTGTTGAAAATGTGTGTATGTGTGTGTGTTGTACTAGGGCTGTGAGTACAATGCTAATAAGATTCTGGCAACAGATTCGAACTCCATCTTTTGAAAGGAAGCATGTTCCACAGAAACAGATTAAATGCATCCCCCAAGTCTGGCCATGTGGATCATTGAGTTGAGTGACAGTGACCACAAGGAAGGAGTGGTGAGGGCATGCTCTCACGGGAGGACAGTGATTTTCCAGAGTGTGGCCTTTGCTGGGCACCTGTTCCTGAGTCAACAGGCCAAAGGCATGTCCAGTGTTCTAAACCCCACATTTCCATGGGAGAGATCTGAGTGAGCTTGGCTAACTACAAGGACGTGAAGCCAATGGGATGGGAGCCTGCAAGGGTCAGGGGGGTGGGAGACAGCCTCACTGTTGTGCTATTGATTTGCTTTTTCACTTCAGAAAGGAGAAGCTGATGCTGTTAGCTTGGATGGCGCATTCATCTACGTAGCAGGCCGGTGTGGTCTGGTGCCCGTCCTGGCAGAGAGCTACAGTAGGTGGAGGAGGAGCTCCTTGGTGTTTTCTTCTCCCTGGCCATGGACTTAGAAAGATGAGGAAACAAGGTTGCTTGGTGCTGAGATCAAAGTGACCACTGTGGGAGTGTAGGACGCTAGTAGATAAAATCCCCTTTCTCCAAAGTCAGAACCACGTCGGATAACAGACGCAGGAGTTATGCAAAAAGAGATTCAAATAGTACCTTTTTAAAAAAGATTTATTTATTTATTTGAAAGGCAGAGTTATAGAGAGGCAGAGGTGGAGGGAGAGAGAGGTCTTCCATCCGCTGGTTCACTCCCCAAATGGCTGCAACAGCCGGAGCTGCACAATCTGAAGCCAGGAGCCTGAAGCTTCTTCCAGGTCTCCCATGTGTGTGCAGGGGCCCAAGCATTTGGGCCATCCTCCACTGCTTTCCCAGGCACATTAGCAGGGAGCTGGATCAGAAGTTGAGCAGCCAGGACCTGAACTGGCACCCATAAGGGATGCTGGTGCCGCAGGTGGAGGCTTAGCCTTCTACGGCACAGCCCTGTGATTTTATTCTTGGCTCTGGAGCTCGAGAAGTTCATGACTGCTATGGATGCAATAATGTGAGCACGTAATGCCAGATGCCTTGATTGTGCTGCTGCTTATTTTTAGATACTACAAATGCCACCGAGAAGCTTGAGTGTGTGAACAGACCCATAGAAGGTGAGTCAGAATCGGCCGCACTGCAGTTCACAGGTAAAAATTTGTGGTTGGCGAAAGTCGTCGAAAGCCTGAACAATAAACAAAAATTGTCAAAAAAAAAAAAAAAAAACAATAAGAAGTCACCATTCATTGCTAAGGCACCAATCTACCCCAGAGCCATAATAATGAAAAGCGTCTTGAGAGCACCTCTCAGTTGGCAAAGGATTACTCTTGCACAACCCCTACTCAGTCTTCTCAGTAGCCTGGGAGGGCGGGGACAGCAGCACCCTGCATTCTGTGGACAAGAAAAGTGGGGCTTGTGGATTTCTCAGGGCCATGCAGCTAGGAGGCGGCTGCATGTGGGCATGGGAAGACGTGGGGTGACTGGGCCCCCAAGCCCTCCTGGTTCCACATGCTGCACCCCCTTGCTGGCTGGCATGAAGCTTGGCATGGGGCAGGAGCCCTTTCTGCTGTGTCTGGGGCCAAGTGGAGAGCTTGCAGGAAGAGGAGAGTCATTGGGAACCTCCCATGCCTCTATTTCACTGGTAGGCAGCTGGGACCTGACAGCAGGGGAGCCAACCTGGTCTTTAAGTAGGAGGGTGCCACTAAGGGACAGGTTGTGTCTCCAGATGGGCAGAGAGAGCCCAGATCTGTCCTTGGAAACCAGACAGAGAGTGACTCTCAGGTGTGTTCTCTGGAGTGCATCCCCTGGCAGTTTGTTGAAGATGAAAATTCTTGGGCTGAGCTTCAGACATACTGAGCCAGGAACTCCAAAGATGGGGCCATCAGTCTTCATCAGGGTGTGTTGTGCCTTGAACCCCACTGTGACAGAGGATCCTGAAATGCAGACCAGGTGCTGCCGTGGGGCTTAGCTCCTGGGTTGACTGCTAGAGGCTTCACTTCCCTGCTTACCTACGGCAGCTGTCCTGCCTGTGCGACAGGACCCAAGCCCTGTGCTTCCCCCTCTTTGACTTGTGTCTTCATCCCCAAACACCAAGGCTGATCTTTTGCCAGCCACTTACTCATTCTGAGCATTTGTGGTCAGAAACAGCTGTCACTTCTCTGAGAGTTGTTGAAATTTCCAGGAATTTAGTGAGAGCTGACATAAATGATGCTCAGAGCTGGTTCAGGCACCAAATGGGAAACTGACTTCAATGCGGAAGGTTCAGTCTGAGTAGAGATGGAGAGGGGTTAACCAGAAACTCACACAACACACATACACACACACAAAGGTAGAGGACAATGATTAATGAAGCAAGGCACTGGAACAGTACTTGGCTACTGGACAGATGTAGCAGAGTCCAGACAGGTAGGCAGGTACTGGCTGGCTCTGGCCTCTGGAGGATCTGCTTGCCTGAGGGCGGCACTGTGCTGCTGCTCTTGCCTCTAGCAGCTCTGCTGGAACCCCCCACCCCCCATACAGCCCACCCCTCCAGTCCCTCACCTACAGCAGGTTCATCATTGTAGCATACCTGGTCCCATCAGTCACCCTCTGCAATGGGTTTCACTGTCACTGTTTTACAGAGGAGAAAAGTGGGCTCCTTTTAGGGGTGACTTGTCATGTAGGAAGTAACTGGAAAGGCAGGTCTTCCACCTGCCATGATGACTCCCAGCTTTTCCAAGCTTGGCTATGTAGAGAACTGGTCTACTTCAGGAAAGGGAGGTGCCTGTGCATATGTGCACACGTGTGGCGAGACACGTTACCACGTTGCCACTAATTCTAAAGATGTATGATTCTAATCTTACCTTCAATTCCAGTCTGCAGCTCAGGCATTACTCAATCAGTAAAATTCATTTCTGCAATGTTGGTATAGCAGTAAATTAGACATTAATTGTGTTCTCTTTAGAATCAAGAGATTAAAGAGAAGAACACCCACTCCCAACAAAGATAATAGGTGTAATTTTGTAAGTGAATGTAATGGGATAAGAAAATCGTTTTTCAATATTGGGGAAGGGAGAAGAAGTTAAATTTTCATTATTGGAAAATTATGCTGTAAGCCTAAACTAGCAGAGGCTTAATGTTAGAAGGAAATCATTAATGTACTTGTTTTGAACTTCCAGTTAACAAAAATACTGGAATGCCAGTTCATATATATAAAGTTGTATGTAAGAAAGTGGTTCATAGCAGGGGGAATTGGGTCACAACACAAATGCCCAGAAGGGGATTATAGACTATGATCCATCCATACAATGGGACATAACATCAATGGATAGCAGAACAAGGTAGCTGTATCTATTTCTACTGAACCAAAAATGCAATTGAGAAGAACAAAACAACTCACAGAAAAGAAAGCATGGCAGAATTGCATTGAAAAAGTACTGTGTGAGTGGCTATATGCGGGTGTCTGTGTGTAGTATAACTGGCAAGCAGTACTGTAAGTCTCTCTGTGTAAGGCTGCCACAAAACACACCAAACACTGGAGTAAGGGAAAGTTTATTGGGAGAAACCTGATAGACTGGAAGGAAGGGGCAAAGAAGGAAAAAGAGGGAGAAAGAGAGCGTAAGAGAGAGAGAGAGAGAGAGGTCAGGAGACAGAGAGAAAGAGAGAGAGAGAGAGACAAGTTCAGGAGTAGGTCCTTTTAAAACTTCACCAGGGTCCGGGGGTGGGGGGGGAGGTGAGGTGGGCAGGAAAGTAGGAGCAGCTAATCCCATTAGGATGGGGGTGGGGCCCTGTAGCTACCTGGCTTCCAGTAATGGGGGCGAGGGCTAGAGCCTAGGATGGTGTCAGGATGTAGATCACGCCATAAATAAGACTGCATCATTTTACTAACACTCTGGCCCAGTGCCTGACAGTTACAGTTATTTGGAGGGTCCTTTGCTATAGGAAGGTGGCGGGGTGGGGGGGTGGGGTGCTACAGCTGTTCCTCTTCCCCAGGAAGAGTGGCAGGCAAGGGCTATAGGCAATTACTCCAGAGGGCCCTGGAGGTGCTGAAATTGTATCTTGGCAAATAGTATCCAGGTAAAAATTGTATCAGGTAAATATATAGACGGGTGATACGTAGATACATACGTAGATACATAGAAACATGAATGTAGATAGATAGACGGACACATATGTAAGTGTATAGTATTTAAGTAAATATATTGGCATAGATAAATAAATATACAAGTTTCTGTGTGTGTTTTTTTCTGAAAGCACAGATGTGTTCACAAGAGGGCCTTGCTCTTTGCTTGAAGCCCAGGGCAGAGTGCACCAGTGAGGGATCCGTGAAAGCAGGAAGGGAGTTACTACAGGAAATTAAATGTTAACACAAAGGGCGAAAGAGAACCAGCTCCCTAGGACAGCTGCTCCCTCCCAGAGAGAGCTACTTCACCAGTACGGTGGCCACCATCCATGGATACGAAGCCAGGATTGATAGTAGCTGTCACTGCTCTAGGGGCCTCTAATCCCCAGGATGGAGAGCTGGACGGGAAAACCCAGCATTTTCAGGGCTTTGCTTCTTCACAGAAAGAGCTGAAAGGGAAGGCAGAGAGACACGGTCACTGCCCCTTCCCAATCCCACGCGTCCTGATTTACACTAAGAACACAGCTGTGGGAAACACTGCAAGTGCAGCTCCTCATCTCCCACCAGACCTGGGTTGGAACAGAACGCAGATGGAGAAGGCCCAGGTGGAGTTCTCCACCATCAGGAGATGCCATTAAATGCTCAGATCTCACTGTTCTCCCCCTCCCCGTGTCTGCACCTCCTGGCCAGGTCATTACGCCGTGGCTGTGGTTAAGAAATCAGATGCTGATATCACCTGGACGTCTCTGCGGGGAAGGAAGTCCTGCCACCCAGCGGTCGGCACATCCGCAGGCTGGAACATCCCCATGGGTTTAATATACAACCAGACTGGGTCCTGCAAACTCGGTGAGTGTGTCCTGGGAAGTGCCCTGGCCTGGGCCTGGGAGAAGTGCAGTTCCATGAAAAGAAAGGAATGCCATCACCAGGTGCAAGGTCAAGAACCCCAGCTCTCGTGACCAGCTCCTTGCCTTTTCCTCTCCCCTTGCTGCTGATGGGAAGGCCTTGGCCCCAGGAATAGCACAGATGGCTCAGTGAACAGGCAAAGCAAGAGAGGGTGCAGAGTGTGTGCGTCTGGGATGTGTGTGGTTATCACATAAGAGGAGACTTCAAAAAGTTCATGAGCCATGAAATTAAAATAAGTTTTAGCGGTGAGCATTCAGTGTAGAATTAAGACACCTGTGACCCACATCGGAGTGCCTGGGTTCAAACCCTGGCTCTGGCTCCTGACTCCACCAGCTTCCTGCTAATGCAGATTCCGGGAAGCAGCAGTGATGGCTCAAGATGGGAGACCTGGACTGCACTCCCAGCTCCTGGCTTTGAGCTTAGCCCACCTCTAGCCACTGCGGGCTTTTGGAGAGTGAACCAGCAGATGGGAACTCTCTCTCTTTCCCTCTCTGTGTGGGAAACAAATAATTTAAAATCTAAGCTTATTCTGGTGTAAAAAATGTTTGAAATCCATGCATAGCTTTTCATAATCCACACTTTTCCATGAACTTTTTGAAGACTGTTTTATGCACAGAATTTTTTTGCTCCCAAATAAACTCATCTTTTAATTCTGTTTTCCATGACCATTTTGAGATACCTGCCTATAAAAGGCACTGGCTGCTTTATATGTTGAACCCTTCCTCTGGTGAGTGGTTGAGGGCTGGGTCTCTCACGCTCGTCTTTGCCTGTCTTGGTTTCTCCCACGTCAGTCACTTGTGCTGCATTCTTGCCAATCCCTAAGAGACTCCTGCTTTGCCGCTTACCAGCTCCTGACCATCTGAGAAATCCCACAGCAGCAGGAACCCCAGCGCCTGCTCTCCTCTGCACCTGTGCCACTGGAGATGGCCCCAGCATGGCTAAGCTGCTTATAGCACTGGGGATGTGCCAGCTGCTGACCGCAGTGGGCCCCAGCTCTCATGAGCATCCACATCATTCCAATGATTATCCCAGTGTCCAAACTGTCTACACCTCCCACTCAGTGTTTCTCAGCAGCCAAAGCTGCCTGCACCTATGTGAGAGAATTGAAACCCTCAGAGAGGCTCCTCCTCACCGCCCCACTGCCTGGGCCCTGGCCTCACCCTTATGCAGCTGCACGGCGTTCCACCTGCACCTGGCTGCGGGCCGCTCCCCTGCTCCCCTCCACAGCCTCCACAGCATCTCACATCCTCCGTGTTGACTTCTCCCTGTGGGACTTCCACCATTTCTCTCAGCTTGTAGACACACCTAATGCCTGCCCCCTTTAAAATCTCCCTGCTCCCATGGTTCTCCTCCAGCTCCTCTTCTCTTTCTCCTGCCCTTCCTGACTGAAACCCCTCACCTCCTGCTCACTCCTGCCTCCCTGCACAGAGTTTGGCCAACACTGCCAGCTGCCTCCACATTGCTCAGCTGGGATGCGCTTCAGTCCACTCCCCGTGACGTCTCATGACATTTCCTCAAACTGCCTTAAAACACCAAGTCCTGGTCCTTAGCTTGGTTTTTCTCCCCTCTCCCCTACAAAATTCCCTTTACAATCTGCTTAAGAAATGTCTGAGTTGCTTAAAGCAAGTCTTTTCCCCAATTTAAACCCAGGCCCTAAGCACTCATGCCCATGCCCAGCCTCAATTACTCCCTAAACAAGCATTGCACAGTTAGGCACATAGTTGGCACTAGATAAATGCCGGCTGCTGTCCTTATTAGTAATATAAGTCACTAGCCCCCAACAAATGGATATTTGCATTTTTCCATAAATCTTTAGAAGTGCCCTGTTATTACATCTGTATGTTGATAACTGTGAAGTTCTTATTCCCTGCACATGCCTCTCTCTGACCTCCAGATATGTGTATAACTTCACTTTGTACCTGACATGTCTGGTCAGATGTCCCCAAAGCACGTTAAGCTCATCTTGTCCAAAGCTGAAGGCATCACTCCTGTTGAGCTGATGCTGTTCTAGAATTTTCTAGCTTGGTGGAGGGCCCTTCAGTCCATCCACTTGTGCCAGCTGGACACCCAGCCATCACCCTGCACACACCTGTCCAAAGCCAGCAATGTCAATTTCCCCCTTCCTCCTGACTACATGGATTGGTCAATTACCTGCCGCCTGAACTCTGTATCAGACCAATTCCCGCTGACCCACTACCAGGCTGATATGTGCAAAGTGCAAAGATGTGATTGCATCCTGCCCACCACCACTGGTCCGGCATCATCTAAAACCTTCAGAGGCTGAAAATAAAGACCCAAAGCTGCACAAAGCTTCCGTGTGGCCTGGACCCTGCCTACTCCCCTCTCACTGCCTCCTCTCGGTGGCCTCACACTGGCAGCCTCTCTGTGTGGTGAGCCCAGCCACCTCGACACAGGTCTTTGCACATGCTGGCGCCGTGTGCACCCTTTTCTCTTTGCTCAGGGAACTCCTCCTCACCCTTCCTCTCTCCCTGGCTCCAGCTCTGTGGCTGCAACTCATGGAATTGTGTTCTTTTTCCCTAAGCAAGAGGAGAAACAAATTCACTGGTGTGCTTTCTTGAGTTCTGAATGTTGCATCTGGGGCTGCAAGTTTCTGGAGAGCAGAGCCCCAGGGTCACATGGCAACCTTGTAAAGGAGGACCAGGGCAGCAGAGCCCAGAAAACACATGGTTCCCATTCAACCAGCCAGGCCTTTCATTTTGTCAGCTCTTAGGGTCAACATCTGCATTCGCCTTTCCACACAGGGTGGACTCCTGTGAGCCATGGACCCCTGATCCACCTCTTGCCAGTTCTTTTCTTTGCTCCAGCAGCAGCTGTTTTTAATTTCCCAGGTTCTTGTTCTTGCAAGGACAAAGTACCTGCAAGTGTCTTTGCATTACTTAGAGAATTTTAGGGACAGAAGCCCAGACGGTCTTGCTAACACAGGCAGCAAGGGCTGACAGCAGTTGTTCTTCCTTACAGATGAGTTCTTCAGCCACAGCTGTGCACCTGGGTCTGCCCCGGATTCCCGCCTCTGTGCCCTGTGTGGTGGCGGCAGCGACTCAGCCCATGTGTGTGCTCCCAACAGCCAAGAGAAATACTACGGCTCCAGTGGGGCTTTCAGGCGAGTAGTGTCTGTGCACCATGTTTTTCATCATGCCAATCTAGTGGGCTTCTTGTCTGCTCCCTGTTTTCACCCTCCTAGCATCTGAGTGTTGCATTTAAAAGGAGCTAGAATTAGCAAACAGAGCTACTGCAAATTCTGAGTGGCCTAAAGAACTTGTGGCTAGTCCCAGTCTGGAGCCCTCTTCTGCAGGCTCAGCTGACTTGGGGTACCACAAGAGACTGGGGACAGGGCAATGGTGATGGCTGCAGAGCCACCACCCTGCCTCTGCTGTGGACTTGTCCTAAGAGGCCCACACTGTCGGGATGCTGGGGTGATGGCGTTCTTTGACAAGAAGCACCAGAGACAAGCTTTGGTGAACATGTCCGTCTGTTAACGATGGGGCACAAGCTTTTAAAGGGCAGGCAAAGAGGAGTAGCTAGTTCAGTATAACAACACTAATTCTTTAGGATAAAGCAGATACTGGCACCTCTAGGCTTCTCCAATCAGCTTGAAGGTCATAGCATCCCAGGTGGTCTTTATGGGTCTGGGCCACACCCAGGAGCTGTTTACCTTGTTGACAATTACAAGGCCCTTCAGCAGGAAGTGAGGATGTGGGAAATGTCCCTGAGGTCCCTACTGCCTGCCAGCAGCCAGGTCATGTGTGGGGGTCCCAGTATGCTGAGCCCTCTACCAGGGTTTTCCTGGGGGGCATGGCATGCCATGCCATCTTAACCTCTTGCATGGGCTAGGCAGGCAGTCTCCCAGCCAAGCATAGGATCACCCACACTACTTCTGCAACTTTCTTCCATGTGGTTGTGGACAGGTCAAAATTTAATATCAAAGGAGAGACATCAGACAGCTGAGTATATTTGAAAAAAAAAAAAAACAGTATTCCTGAGCTACTCCATGCATTCAAGAAATTTGAATTGAGAACTTAATGCATGGTGGTCCCTGCCCCTGCCCCCAGGCTCATGGGGAGGGTACAACAATGAACACAGAAATAAAGAACAAGACACTTGGCATTGTAAGTGCTACAGAGGAACAGAGGGTGGAGGTGGTGGGGTCTGGGGTGGGGGACAATGTTAGGACAATGTTTAGTCAGTGAACAGAGTGGCCAAGTGAGCTGAGAATTAGACAACGAGGAAGAATAAGCCAGGAGGAAGGGACAGCAAGGACAAAGTACTGGAGCTGGGACAAACCACTCTGTGCTGGGGCCAGAAAAGAAGGCCTGAGGATTTGATCTGCAGATGGAGGGGTGCAGGGTGGGATCCCGAGGAGCTTCAGGTGTTGGCCTGGCAGAGGAGGCAGACTCAATTATAAGCATGACAGGCAGGACTGGACACTTGGAGGCAGGAGGGCCAGGTAGCGTGGATCAGTTATGCTGCTGTCTTGTGGACAGTGGACGAGGCTCTAGAAAAGGAGTGGGGAATCTTTTTTCTTCCAAGGGCCTTTTGGACAGTTATAACATCATTCATGGGCCATACAAAATTATCAGCTTAAAAATTAGCCTGCTATAGAGTTATTGACTTTAGAGTCCCACCTGCAGTTGCCTTGGCAGAGCCGGAGCAGGCCTCATACAGACCATGGGAGGGACGTTCCCCACCCCTGCTCTAGAAAGTAGCCTTTTATCCATAGACACTATGTTACTGGATCACTTTGGCCTGCTCCAAATTGCTAGCTTTTTCTTTTCTGTTTCCTTTAAAAAAAAAAAAAAGATTATTTATTTGTAAAGCAGAGTTACAGAGAGAGAGAGAGAGATTTTCCATCTGCTGGTACATTCTTCAAATGGCCACAATGGCCAGTGGTGAGCCACGCCAAAGCAAGGAGCCCAAACTCCATCCAGGTCCCCCTAGTGGGATGCAGGGACCCAAGCATTTGGACCATCTTCTGCTACTTTCCCAAGTGTGTTAGCAGGAAGCTGGATCAGAAGCAGAGTAGCCAGTGCTCATATGGGATGCCAGCACTGCTGGTGGCAGATCAACCAGTTGTATCACAATACCAGCTCCCAGATCAATATTTTTTTCTTTAAAAAGAAAACCACAAGGTATTATATACAAAGAAGATGTGAGCTATATAAATAAACAGCAAACAAAGATAATATATTATCAAACTAGAATTGCTATCTGCGTGGCATGAAATCTTTTAAAGAGCTATAGAAGCAATACTTTTATGTCAGTATTCATTTATCCCCAAAGATAACCAAAAGGAGGAAGGAGGAGAAGAAAAAGAAGGGGAAAGTGGTGTTTTTAATACTAAATATGATCATCTTTTTTTTTTTTGAAGATTTTGTTTATTTATTTGAGAGGCAGAGTTACTAGAGAGTAAGAGAGAGAGACAGAGAGAGATCTTCTATCCGCTGGTTCACTCCCTAAATGTCCACAATGGCTGGAGCTGGGCTGTTCTGAGAACAGAAGCCAGGAGTTTCTTCTGGGTCTCCCACATGGGTTCAGAGGCCCAAGGAGTTGGGCCATCTTTCACTGCTTTCCCACCATCTGCAATGCCAGCATCCCATGTGGGTGCTGGTTTGAGTCCCCACTTCTCCACTTCTGATCCAGCTCCCTGCTAAAGCACTTGGGAAAGCAGCAGAAGATGGCCTAAGTGCTTGGGCCCCTGCACCTATATGGGAGACCTGGAAGAAGCTCCTGGCTCTTGGCTTTGGGTCAACCCAGCTCCAGCTGGGTTGCAGCTATTGGAGAGTTGCAGCTATTTGGAGAGTGAACCAGCAGATGGGAGACCTTTCTCTCTGTCTCTCTCTGTCTCTCTCCCTCTCTCTGTGTAACTCTGACTTTCAAATAAATAAGTAAATCTTAAAAAAAAAATAATTCTCCTCATGACCAGCTGCCTATTTTTTTCACATCTTCAAGTCTCTTGAAGCAGCCACTCCTGCTTGCCTGGGATCACTGACCCTGCAAGCCCGTTGCTGCTCTCACACCCACCCTCATGTCACACACACCACTGCTGTCTGTACCCAGTGTAAGTTTCACAGCCAAGTGCCATCATTATTCCCCTGGGCAAATGTCTCATCACTTTCCCCAGTTAAACCATGACCCATGACATTGCTTTGGTCTCCCATCCAGCTACCTGCTGTCTGCACTTCCAGGCCTGCATTCCCCTTTAAAGTGGTGAGCACTCAGCTCAAATGAGCCCCTGTGTCTCAGTCTACCCACTCCCCGCTGCCCTAGACCCTGATTCCATACTTATCCTCTCCTCAAACATCCAACACTCCTTCCCCGTCTGTCAGACCTTTATCTTGAGACAGTCAAGCAATCAAAGGTGAAATCTCACAATGCCCCCAACACACCTACCTACACAGGGCTGCTGTCTGTACCCACCACCCCTATCAGATCTTCTTCCCTGCTGGGTCATTCCTATCAGTGTGAAAGCATGCTGCTGTTTCTTCCTATCTTAAACCTAAGTAAATACAAGGTCTTGGTCTCAATTTCCTCTCCAGCAATTGCCCATTCTTCTCCTTCTCTTTCCAACAAAATGTTCTTGAAGGAGTTAAATACCCTAGCTCACTCCAGTTTCTCTCTTTTCCTTTGCCCCAGGACTGAGGTTAAGAATCTGCTCACTTCCTCTACCCCAGCCAGGAAGGCTGATATTCTTTTGCTTTCTAGTTATCAATAGAAAACACACCTCCTTCTGATGGCAACCTGTTCGGCCCCACCTCCTACCTCAGTCCACCACACAGCTGAAGACATACCCTAAGTCACCAATGGCCTCCTTGATGCTAAACCTCGAGGCTGGCTCTTAGTCCTTTCGGTAGCAGCAACATCAGCACCCCCAGTCACCTCCTCCTCCAGTTTTCTTCTTTGGCTTCCAGAACGTGACACTCTTCTGTTCCCCCCCCCCCTTCTGCTTCTACGCCCCAGTCTCTGATTCTCCCTCACTTCCTCCAGCTCCACTTGTTGGCATGCCCCAGGCCCCTGTTTTGGGTGATTTTACCCAGTTTTGATCCTTTTATATACCCACATTCTACTCTGATGTCTCCCTGAAGGAAGCACCAGACAGATCTCCAGACTCATGTATCCAACTTCCTAGCAGTCGTCTCCACTTGGATTTCTATTCACCATCAGATTTAAATATCCAAAACTGAACTTCTGAAATTCCACACCTAGGCCCCTGCCACCTGCATGGGAGACCTGGGTGGTGTTCCTGGCCCCCAGCTTCAGCCTGGCCCAGACTTGGCTGTTGTGGCCATTTAGGGAGTGAACCAGTGGATGGAAGATCTCTCTCTCTCTCTCTCTCTCTCTCTCTCTCTCTCTCTCTCACTTTGCCTTTCAAATAAAGAAATCTTTTTTTAAAAGTCTATGGAACACATGATTATGAAAAACTATGCATGGACTTCAAAATTTTTTCCACTAAAATAAACATCATTCCATTTTCCACAGATTGTTTGAAGTCCCCTCACAGGAGGGAACACACACTATTTGTTCCTGTCTGCCTGCGTCATTCGGCCTCATTTCTCTCTTTCCCTGCAGGGTGGTTTCTTGGTCTATGGTAGGAAGTGTTTGCAACCAGCAGGCCCCATGTTGTTAGGGCTGCTTGGTCAGAGAGGAGCCTCACATATTAGTCCCAGTTGCCAGGAAAGGGGACTGGCAGCCCGGTCTGGGTACAAGTTTCCTGCCTGCACACCTCCTGCAGAGGAGTCACCCAGTAAAACTACAGCTGCCTCCCCTGGCCCAAGTGGATTGAGGTGGGCTGGATGGGAGAATCAGTTCTCAAAAAAAAAAAAAAAAAAGCAATATATAAGGGACCACACCAGTGATCAGAAATTTTAAAAGTGAAATTATGAAAAGGGAATTTTGTTTTCCTAGATATAAAAATCAGATCATAATGCCATGGCAATAATGAACAGACTGTTCAAGTGCAAGAAGTAAGTGGAAGAGAACAGAGTTCCAAGAGAGATTCATGGACATATTGCAATTTGGTCCACAGCAAAAGTGACCTTTCCAATCCAGAGGGGAAGGGTGAACTTAAGATATCACCAATCAAAGGTGATTTCTTAAGACTGGTGAGCCTGGGGGCAGCACTGTTAGTCCTGAGTCCTGGGACAGTCCTGACAAGGGGCCAGGGTGGTGTGGCAGCTGCAGGAGGAAAACGAGGGTGACCCTCTTGGGTGCTGGGATGAGTGAGGAGGACAGGCCCATTGCTGGGGCACAGTGTGAGATCAACATAGGGTTTACTGTTTTGTTTTGTTTTGTTTTGTTTTGTTTTTTAAAGAAGGACATGTAAGTGCTGATGGAAAGAGCCCAGTGAACATGGAAAAGTTACAACTGTGTGAGAGAAAGAGCATAGAAATGGGTGAAAGTTCCTGAAGCTGGGGGCAGGATTAGGATGTGGAGGACCTGGGGAGGATGCCTGTGCTGGGAGGGACCCTTCCCTCCTCCTCTGCACCTGGATGGCAGGAGCAGCGCGGTGGGGAGAGACTGGCTGATCTGGTGGAGGGGTGCAGAGAGGCCTGTGTGCAGCTTCTGTGTTCTCTCTGAGAAGTGGGGAGCGCATGTCAGGGTCTGTGAGGCTGGGGAGGAGGGTGTGGAGGGACACAGTCTGTAGGAAGTGGGAAGTGTGCCCTACGAAATGCACAGGTGGCTGTCCAAAACAGCCATCCAGGATGGGCTTGTGAGCACAGGTTCTACCCCTAGAGATTCTTAGCCAGTTATCTGGGACTAGACAAGAGTATGTGTTTCTAGAACTTCACAGCTGAAGCTGATGCTGCCTGCCCCAGCCTACAACTTAAGAGACCTGTTGGTCTAGAGTAGAGCGACGAAGAAAGGAACATGCAGGTGCAGTAAATGATCCAAGGGGTCTCTGTCTAGAGAGGAGATGCAGGCATATGTGAGAGGCATGGTCAAGCTCATTCAGGGCTGGAATTCTATGAAGGAGACACCAGGAAGGAGGTAGGGCAAGGGAGCTTAGGAACCCTGAGTGGGAGTGACTGATGCTAGCTGGGAATGGAGGCCAGAAGACAGGTGAGAGTAAACTGGAGGTGTGCTCCTGACAGTCACCATTTCCAACTGACCAAAAGCCGGGGAACTGACTTTCAGTGTGCTCAACATCTCTCCTAAAAAGTGCACCTGAAACAGGCTGTTTTTCATGGGGTTAAGACTGAACGACGTTTTGATGATGCACATTCACTTTCATTACTACTGAGCAGACAGAAGTGACAAAACTCACAATCCCGTCTTCCATGCTGATTGTAATCCCTGACAGGAAGTTTGATCTAACCAGAGGGACATCCCTTGGATATTCCTGGTAAGAGGAGAATATAAATACCTCCTCTGGGGAAATTAATCTGCATTTATTTATTTATATTTAGTTTATTTATTTGAGAGACAGAGAGAAAGAGAGAGAGAGATGGACAAAGACAAAGGTAGAGCTTGTAGGTGCTGGTTCACTCCACAAATGCCCACAAAGCTAGGGCTGAAGCCAGGATCTGGGAACTCATCTGGGTCTCCCATGTGGGTGGCAAGGACTCAATTAGTTGAGCCATCACCTGTTATCTCCCAGGGTGTGCATTAGCAGGAAGCTGGAGTCAGGAACCAGAGCCGGAAGTTGAACCCAGTCACCGCACTGTGAGATGAGGGCCCCCAACCAGTGTCTTAACCACCATGCCAAATGCCCGCACCTGCCCAGGGACTGAAACAGCAGCTAGCCATAATAGAACCCAAATAGGGGGCTTTCTCCTTCTATTGCCTCTCTCCCTCCCTGATAAGGTGCCAGCATGGCAGCTGCTTGTGTGGAAATGCTGGGCCTGGGTGCAAGGGCTGTGAGCCTCCTGGGGTCTCCCTCCCACTCCTCTGGACCCCCCTTGCTGACCTGAGCCTTGCTGTGCAGGTGTCTGGTTGAGAAGGGCGACGTGGCCTTCGTGAAGCACAGCACGGTCCTGCACAACACCGGTGGTAGGTTCCCGCGTGGTCTTGTCCGCCCCCGGAAATTCTCCCTGTCTGCTCGGACTTGACCAGTGCAGCTTATCACACTGGCCTTGGACCCAGCTGGCAGGCGTGCAGAGGCCGTATTGGTGTGAGCACAACTGACCCTCTGTGTACACCTGCATGCAAGTCCTTGTCAGCTCCACATGCTGGAAACGTCTCCCCCTCGCTGTGGTTTGCTTCTCACTTCCTTCATGGTGCCTTTTGATGAATGAGCCCTCTTAATCTTTTTTTTTTTTTTTTTTTTTTTTTTTTTTTTTTTTTGACAGGCAGAGTGGACAGTGAGAGAGAGAGACAGAGAGAAAGGTCTTTCTTTTGCCGTTGGTTCACCCTCCAATGGCCACCGCGGCCGGCTCACCGCGCTGATCCGAAGGCAGGAGCCAGGTGCTTATCCTGGCCTCCCATGGGGTGCAGGGCCCAAGCACTTGGGCCATCCTCCACTGCACTCCCTGGCCACAGCAGAGAGCTGGCCTGGAAGAGGGGCAACCGGGACAGAATCCGGTGCCCCGACCGGGACTAGAACCCGGTATGCCGGCGGCGCAAGGCAGAGGATTAGCCTAGTGAGCCGTGGCGCCAGCCATCCCTCTTAATCTTAATACACACATAGTTCTATTTAGCATCCCTTTCTTCCTGGCCAGTGCATTTCCAGACCTGATTAAGAAACCTTGCCTCTCATAGCACTGAGAAAGCACTAACCAGAAAGGCTATGAATTCATGAACGTGTGGATGTTTCTCTTCTGTTTTATTTTAGAAGCTTTCTGGTGTTATTCCTTTGTGTCTCTGTGACTCTCCCAGGCACTAGGGATCAGCCGCACGTCCTCAGCCCCCTGTGAGGCCACAGAGGCCAAGGCTATCAGCAGTGGCCAGTCCACCTTCTTTCTCTCCCCCAGGAAGGAACCCTGAAGCATGGGCTAAGGACCTGAAACCGGAAGACTTTGAGTTGCTGTGCCCCAATGGCACCAGGAAGCCTGTGACGGAGGCTCACAGCTGCCACCTGGGCATAGTGCCAAACCACGCTGTGGTCTCGAGGAAAGAGAAGGCAGATTTTGTCCGCAGAATACTCTTCAACCAACAGGTACGGGCGCCCAGGGCTCCCTGGCCCCCCAGCTGAGGGCTCTGTCCACTACGGAGGGGCCCAGACATGACCTCGCCCAGCCTCGCCACTCCTTCAGTGGGCCCTGGTGCTCCCAGCCCTGCCTCTCATCCAGCAGAAAGCTGGCGGCTGCCTGCAGCTTCTTGCTCCGAGTGAACCAGGAAGGCCTGAGACACGAGGGCTTCTAGGGCGTCCGCCCAAGGCTCACTCGACGCTCTGAGCAGATTCGTGGCGCATCGATCCTTTCTCTCCTCTGTCACAGAAGTAGGGGATCTGGCTCAGTGCCCTTCACACTAGGCTGAGCTGCAGGTGAGAAAAACAGAATGGAGGTCACTCAACGTGATCCAGGGTCGACCCAAGGGCAGGCTGGGCACTGTCCTGGGCTTCAGGAAAGAGACAGTCAATATGGAGACTCCTGTGCCCCTTACAGGAGGCTGTCTAGGCCTGACCCAAGAAGAGTAGCCGGCTGCTGAAATCAAAGGATCTTACAGAAGACGCAAAGCTTCCTGCGCCTTTGGCACTAGCATAACCCCTCCTTGGAAGTTCCCTGAATTAGAAATCCGTGTCTTAGCATCTGCCACCTGCACAGCCCAGAGGAAGGATGACAACCCAGGGAGAGCTGGCAAAGTAAGAGGCGCCCAGCTGACACCTTAAAAATTGGACAAAGGAAGAGAGAGGAGGAGGAAAAGAGAGATGGGAATGGCCAGGCTCCTGAGGCAGACCGAGCACAGACGCAGCAAGACGGCAAGGGCTCCAGGCGGTGGGGAGCCCTGCAGGTGTGATCCCGGATGCTGGGAACATCTGGCAGCAGCCGGTGAAACAGTAATGCAGTAGCAAGCTACTTGCTTTCCGTGTAAGTGGTCTTTCAAAAAGTTCAGTAAAAACACACATTTTGAAAAAAAGATGGCATGCATTTTAAAAATTTCTTACACGAAGTACACATCTTTGAATCCCATTTTCCCAGGAACCCTTTGAAGTTCCTGCATCCCCTACCTCACTATTTCATGTTTTCGTCTCCATTTACAAATGAGCTGACTGGGCTTCACTGAACTGCGGAGGGTCTTCCAGAAGTCACTCAAGAAAAGACAGGGCCCACAGCCGAACCCAGAGACTGTGCTTTTCGTCATTTTACGACAGAGCCTCCTAAACTCTTGCTGTGTCCAGGATTTCGCAGGCGCTGGAGCTGAGCAGACTAGGGTCCTCAGACAGAAGTTGCAAACCCACCCCCATCTCCCACCCCCACATCCGCACTCCCCGCCACTTCCTCACGGTTTGTCTGTCTGCCCCAGGAGCTCTTCGGAAGAGACGGGTTTGAATACAGGATGTTCCAGCTGTTTGGCTCCTCCTCCTCCAAGGATCTGCTGTTCAGTGACGATACAGAATGCCTGGCTAACCTTCAGAACAAAACCACCTATGAAAAATACCTCGGGCCGGAGTACCTTACGGCCATTGCCGACGTGAAGCAATGCTTAACCTCCAGTAAGTAGGGAATGAAACGCCGGTGAGACACAGCACCGGGATCAAGGTAGACGCATGTGCTAAGGGCTGTGTTGTGCAAGCCTTGGGCGGTACTGAGAGGAAGACAAAGGTGTAAGGGGTCTGCCCCTTGCCCTGCAGGGGATTCACACCCACCAAGGATTGACTCAGACAGCAGCGAAACATCCTGTGAAGGACACAGGGAATACAGCAGAACCTGAGGTCACTCGGGAATTGAACTTGTCTTTGTGTGTTTTTCCATTTTTGCTGATAGGGTAAAAACATATGCAGATGAGCACTTAAGTGTAAGGAGAAGGCTCGGGAAAGACAGATACTTCTCAGTGATTTCAGGTCCAGTGTGGAAATAATATTAACAAGCAAATTAAGCCGAGTTGGCACTATAGCAGGCCCTTGCTGCTGCTCCTATTTCGGGGTGGCAAGGCTGCCTCAAAAAGACATAAACCGGATGAATCACGTTAGAAGCTGGGATAAACACATACTTGGGAGTAGGCCTGAATTTTTGTTGAATTATAATATGTGTTGAAGATGATGAGAGCAACAAGAAAAGAAAATGCAGGTCCTTAAGGATAGCATTTATGGTGCTACGGAAAGAGAGTCCTTATGAATGACCGTTTACTTTTAGAAACTGCTCAGCAAGCCTGGCAGGCACTGAATTCCTTCTCTTATTCTGCTTCACAGAACTTCTGGATGCCTGCACGCTCCACGGGAATTAGAAGCGGACCCCAGTGGGCAGCTCAAGTACAGCGGGGCCTCAGACTCCCTTGTCTTCCTGAATTCACAGCAATCATCTAAGTAATTCTGTGCTATAAATGATGCAAAAACTAAAATGAATAAAAATTGTGTCTTTTCTGGAAACTTCACTACATGTTTCTTTTTTGTGTAGAAAAAGACTATTCTTTATACTAGAACTGTGCTTCTGTGTTTTGTATTTCTTAAGCTATACTGTTCTTTTTTAAAAAAAATTACTTTATTTTTATTTGAGAGACAGAGTTACAGAGAGAGGTAGAGACAGAAAGAGAGAGGTCTTCCATGCACTGGTTCACTCCCCAAATGGCCACAATAGCTAGAGCTGAGCAGATCAGAAGCCAGGAGCAAGGAGCTTCTTCTAGGTCTCTCACATGGGTTCAGGGGCCCAGGCACTTGGGCCATCCTCTGCTTCTTTCCCAGGCACATTAGCAGGTAGCTGGATTAGAAGTGGAGCAGCCAGGACTTGAACCAGCACCCATATGGGATGCCTGTGCTGCAGGCTGGGGCTTTAGCCCGCTGCACCACAGTACTGGCCCCTGTACTGTTCTTTCTTTAAATTGGAAAAGTCCAGCTCAGCTTTTCCCCCTATACTTTGATTTTTTTTTTACCTGAGTCATGTCCTTTAAATATAATTTAAGCAAAAAATCTGTCTGGAGAAAGTTTGAGTGGTGATGATCAGGGGTCAGGCAGGTAGTGTGTGGAGTATTAAGGACTGGCTATTGAAGAGAAAGGATAGGAATGATTTTGTGTAGTTTTAAAATATATGCTAACACTTTAGATTGACAATGTTGAGTGGAATCAAGCTCTTGATTCAGATTAATGGGAAAACATTAAAATTACTGCTTTTCAAGAATCAACTTCCTGAAAGTGTGACATGCACTCATTTCATTTAAGTCAGTTTCTTACCAGAGATTTGCAATGTCTACTATCAGCACAGTCCAGATTGTGGTAATGTCTCCACAGATGCTGTTGAGTGGGAACCTGAGTCTCATGTATGGTCAAAAGGCATGTGCTTCTGCCCAGGAGAGAGTAATCAGTGCAGGACTCGCCTTCCTTCTGTAACAGGGAAAAACTGCACCAAACACGGAGGACGACTCTTCGCAAACATGGGACAATATAAGTGCAGGTCTCTCAGAGTCTCTGAAAGATCAGAAGCCAAAAAGGTGAGCAGGAACCAGTGTTTGACCCAGTGGTTAAGATGCCCACACCTCCCACTGGAGTGCCTGGGTTCAATTCCCAGCTCGGGCTCCTGACTCCAGCTTCCCACCAATGCAGACCCTGGGAGGCAGTGAGGATGGCTCAAGTAACTGGGTGCCTATTACACATGGGAGACCTGCTGCCAGCTCCTGACTTAGGCTCTGGCCTTAGTCCAGTCCTGGCTGTTGCAGACATTTAAGGAGGGAACCAGTAAATGAGAGCTCTTTCTGCCTCTCAAATAAATTTTCTTTAAAGTTTATTTATTTATTTCCATCTTACTTAAAAGGCAGAGTGACAGAGATTGAGAGAGACAGAGAGATCTCATCTACTGGTTCACTTCCCAATTGCCCCCAACAGTCAGGACTGGACCAGGCCAAACCCAGGGGCCCAGAACTACATGTAGGTCTCCCATATGGGTTGCAGGTGCCCAAGTACTTGAGCCATCATCCAGTGCCTTCCAAGATGCATAAGCAAGAAGCTGTATTGGAAGAAGAAGAGCCAGGACTTGAACCAGCACTCAAGTACGGCAGGTAGGCATTCCAAGTAGCAGCTTAAACTTTGTGCCAAAATGCCTGCCCCTCAAATAAATCTTAAAATTTTTTTTGAATGGGGGAAATTTCCATATCATGGTACTGGGAGAGAGAACCCACAAGAGTCCAACACATTGAGTTGAGGAAACATATTAAAACTTTTGGCGGTCAAGGGAGCTGGAATGTGTGGGGTTGCGAACCAGAACAGGCAAAGACTTGCAGAGAAAACATTCTAGAGATCTGCACAGGAGTATCCTGGAGTCCTGAGCAAAATACTAATCTGCATGTGAGCAGAATAGGCCCAAGATACACGAGCTGGACAAAGAATAACTGTGCAGACATTCCAACACGTGGCCTTCCTTGGGTCTTTCCCGAATGCCCTGTGTGTTTAGTGAGATCATCCCAGTGCAACCAGAAAATCTCCAGAAGTTCTTCAACTTATTGTTTCCTGGGCAGCTGCTGTTTGCTGGGCCTCACGGAGTCACACTTCTCATAACAATTTCTATATATTCCTGTGTAGCCAAAACTTCTAAGGGGCCCTATGCAGATTTCAGGCCATCTTTCTCTGCCTACCTCTCTCCTCCTCAGCACAACGCCCCCACCATCAATAACTCTGATCTCTGTTCCTTCAACACAGTGAGACTGCCCTGCTCCACGTGGCCCCTCATCCTTGTGTTGAGTGAGTGAAATTGTATGACTCACTTCACATGTCTCTCTCTCTCTTCTCAAGAATTACAACCTGGGGGGTGGGGATGGGGCTGGTGCTGTGGTGTAGTGGGCTGGGCCTCTGCCTATGGTGTCAACATCTCATATGGGTGCCAGTTTGTGTCCTGGCTGTTCCTCTTGCAATCCAGCTCTCTGCTTATTGCCTGGGAGGGCAGTGGAGGAAGGCACAAATGCTTGGGCCCCTGCACCTGCGTGGGAGACCCTAAAGAAGCTCCTGGCTCCTGGCTTCAGATTGGCACAGCTCTCGCGATTGTGGTCATTTGGGGAGTGAACCAGTGGGTGGAAGACCTTTCTCTCTGTCTCCCCTTCTTTCTGTCTATAACTCTACCTCTCAAAGAAATAAATAGAATCTTTAAAAAAGAATTACAACCTGTAACTGACAAGTATCTGAAAACAGTTGTTCAATGCATTTGGCTAATTTTCTACCCATTTATGATGGGGGGTCATCTAAGACTGGTTGCTCCATCAGGGACGGAAGGGGAAGTCCTTCTAGCAGTTCTTTTGGACTTGATTTCAAACTGGGCTCTTCCCTCCAATATCAGCAATGTTAGCTTTCATATGCTCATTGTCTCCAGTGTACTGTACTTGTTGGTGAACAGCCCTGGAAAGGGCCAGAAACCTAGGTTGCAACTCAGAGAAACTGAGCACCTTTGGCTTTGAGGAGCTGGAGTTGGTGCAGTGCAGAGGGAGCCCAGGGAAATGGAAGGAAATGATGACTTCAGACTAAGCCCCACCACCAAACGGCCCCTAATGCCTGTGCTCTCCAGGCTCAAGCTCCTTATCTACATGTCAGCCTGCAAAAAGAAACTCAGAGACAGGCTTTCTAGACCAAAAGGTCTTGTTAGGAACAGCGAACAGTTGCAATTCATGGTATATGCAAGTTACGGGAATCATAAGCCCACCAGAAAAAAAAAATGGCACAAAAAATATTTTTAAAAATCTTTATTTATTTGAAAGGCAGAATTACAGAGAGCAAGATCTTCCATCCACTGGTTTACACCCCAAATGGCCACAACAAATGGTACTGGGCCAGGCCAGAGCCAGGAGCCATGAGCTTCTTTCAGGTCTCCCACATGAGTGATGGGGCCCAAGGACTTGGGCCATCTTCTGTGGCTTTCCCAGGTGCATACGCAGGAAACAGGGTATGAAGTCAAGCAGCCAGGACATGAACTGATGCCCATGTGGATGTCAGCACTGCAGGCCATGGCTTACCCCATTGAGCCACAGTGCTGACCCCAAAAGGAAGCTTTTTTTTAATTTTTAATTTTTTATTTTTTTGACTTTTAAGATAAAGAAAGGAGTCCATGCAAAGTTCTTGAACAAACTCACTGATCAAAGGAACTCATTGGAGGAGCCGGCATTTGTTCACTGGAGACAGCCATTGCTAGGTTACTGTCCTGGTCCAACGGTTTTAGCTAAACTGTTGCAATTCCTGGGGAATTTCTCCTGGTGAATTCTGCCAGCTCCGCTTGTAAGGTATGGACAGTTAGGTAGTTCAGGAATGTAAGCATGAATACTTAGTTTTTATGGCCTTCCATGACTCCATTTTTGTTAGAGTTTTGACGTAAGTGACTCCATTTTGTGTTATTAACTTCTACATTCCCCAGTGAGATACCAAGTTTTCTCTCCCAGCACATGTAGCTAGCAGAGCTGAAGAATCCAATAGAAGGTTTTGGGGGCAAACCTCTCCCAGCCTGCAGTCCAGTTCAACAACCTCTATTAACATAATCTTAAAATCAGACTTTGCTTGCACACACCCAAATTCTCCATCCCTCACCCCCACCCCAGGATTCTTCACAGCTGTCTTGCACCCTGCTTCCTCCATATGTAAATCTGTTGAGGAGAGATGTGCAGAAAGGGCCATGGCTCTGCAGCTTCCTGACCAGGCTAGGGCCTTTCCCATTCTGGGAATGACATTTTCTTTTTCTTTTTTTTTTTTTTTATTTGGCAGGTAGAGTTATAGACAGTGAGAGAGACAGACAGAGACAGAGAGAAAGGTCTTCCTTCTGTTGGTTCACTCCCCAAATGGCCGCCACAGCCAGCACTGCGCCGATTCAAAGCCAGGAGCCAGGTGTTTCTTCCTGATCTCCCACGCAGGTGCAGGGCCCAAGCACTTGGGCCATCCTCCACTGCCCTCCCAGGCCACAGCAGAGAGCTGGACTGGAAGAGGAGCAACTGGGACTAGAACCCAGTGCCCATATGGGATGCTCGTGCTGCAGGTGGAGGATTAACCAAGTGAGCCACGGCAATGGCCTGAGAATGACATTTTCACATCTGGTCCTATATCATTTCTCTAAAACCTGCTCCCAGGTAGTCGTAGACATGCCTATCCATTATGTTGGAACACATGAAAGATCTCCCATTAGTGTTCCACCTGTTACAAAGTCCTTAGGCTCTGCTGCCCAACGCTGTAGAAGCTGTTGGCTGTGATGGGCTTGAGTTTCTGCCCCCATCTTCCTCACTAAGAGAGCCAACCTGGCATTCCTATGTGACACAGACATAGAGCTTGAGGATCCTGATCCAACAGGGGTCTTTTGCTGATGCTGGGGGCCTGGGGGAATTGTCAAGTCCCTCATCTCCATGGTCTTCCAACTGCAAGAACTTGGAGATAAAGCCAGGGCAGATAACTAAGATGTGACTTTTTCACACATTTAGGGTAC